GAGTATAAATAAATAAATTAAAACAATTAAATTAAATTAAAAAAAGTAATTATTTTGACCATTATTTTAAACGTTTGGGATACATATAATTGAATCAAACAGATGGGCTTAGGGTAACAAGCAGTCAACTGGAGGAGCAGACTGAGAACTCCTTCCATGAGCATTGATACAAGAAGAATAGGCTCCCTTGCCTGCCTCAGTTGATCTTAAGTCGACATCCTCTACCAAAATATTGGTGCAACTTACTGTTTGGCTACAGCTTAATTTAATTACTTCTGCTTTATCAGATGTTCCCCGAAAGCCTTTGAACGTAACGTCGCTTATTTGAACCGCAGAAGCACTCTTCAAACATTTCAAACAAAACAACTTTAATTAAGTACTAAAAATAAAAATATTAAGCAACTAAATGATTAATTAAAACTTTTCGACAAATCAATTTCTGATAACAGTAAATTTTATTGTTGATGAAGAAAAAGTTTGAACTATCCCTTCTACTTCTTTAATAATATTTTGTTTTTCACTGATGAAAAAAAAAAAAAAACTAACAGTAAATTCTTACCTGAGAAGTACATGGTTTTTTAGGACAATAATACTGATCGATAAGGATGGGATTGAAAGAATCGAAGACTTGAATTTCCTCAAATGATATCTTTCTAGCATATCCACTTCCTCCCTACAAACAAATAAATAAATAAATAATAATAATAATTTTGTAGAAGTAGAATAACGAGAGAAAGTTGATTATAAAAAAAAAAAAAAAGGAGAGAGAGAGAACAACTTAAAATCACATGTAATAATAAAATCTAAATGATTATTATGTAATTCATGGTACCTGCCATGTTTTGATCCTTGCTCCATTCATTGTTCCATAAAAACTACAATTTTTTACATGTATTTCTTCTACTTCAGCTTTTTCTCCATTTTTACCTAAGCTTCCAACACTGCAACAAATTCTTTAAGCATTAGAACTAGTGTACTATTAAGGGAGCCCATGTACTTTACTACTTGTGTATAAATTGTACCTTATGCCATGGCCAGGGCCACAGCTCAACTTCGTTATATTGATATAAGAGGAACCACTGTTAATTGCAATACAATCATCACCTACGTACAAATAATATACATGACAAAGTTGAATTATAATTAGGAGGATAGGGCATTAAGTGGAGAGATCATAGGTGTTTGGTAAATTTCATACCCGTCGTGATGTTGCTATTCATAATTTCAATGTTGTTTGAATTGGCAATATCAATGCCATCAGTATTTGGGCTTTCATCTGGGGCAATCAAAGTTATGGAACTGAAAGTTCCATGGCTGCAATTATCTATAGAAATATGGTTTCGTCCGCTATCAATTGAGGTCAATCCGCTCACATCAAGGAAAGAACAACTTTGAAATCTCAAGGTCTAACCATCACAAAACCAAAGTTAATCTCAATTACTAGTAGTTGTTTATGCATATGTATTATATAATAGGAAATTAGAAGCCAATCCAAGAAATAGTTAAGAAAAATTGAAAGTCATTCCCTTACCGTTGGTCTCATGCAACCGCTCATCTATAACATAAATTTGGAGAATTGAATTAGAATTTAGCCAAAACAATGAAAACAAATGAAAATTAAATTCATCAAAAAGCGAACAAAAGAAATAATTATTGATTGCAAAAAGAAAGAAAAGAAAAACACAACTATATATATATATATATATATATTAAACCCTTGCAATGCTAAGCACGTTACAAATATAATACCTAATACCTTCTGTACCTAAAAGAAAACAAGAAAAATTTTGTTAATTTTACTTACAGATGGGCAAGAGTTCCACCAATCAGCCCCTTTAGCGTCTAGATTCCCGTTTCCAGTTACTTTTAGTCCTTCAACTTTTGAGAAGATAATCCATGAATTTTGTTCTTGCCCCCAAGATGATGCTGACTTTCTAGGTGCTACGATATTACCCATAATCTACACGGTATGTGTTTTAACAAATTGCAAACAATTTGGTTTAATGTATCATTCTGATTCATATGTAAAAATAATTAAGATCCGTACAAAGATGGATATAAGATGTCGATTTTGATGATTTATTTACCTGAACCACAACATTATTCGACGTACAAGGGCCTTCGAATGCAATAGGATTTAGCAAGAATGTCTTGCCATATGGAATAATGAAGGTAGGATTTTTCAATGTCGAACCACAAGCTGCTTTCCATGTTTTAGCAAAAGCCTTTAACAAAAAGAGATATATATTATTTTTCTAAATTGTGAGGGCTTTCCAATCAATTTTCACATAACTTAAGACATTATATATAAGCTTTAATAATGATAGTAACAGGGAAAAAATGTT